GTCTGGTTCTCTTATTATTTGCTTTTAGACTTCAGAAAGGATGCGTGACTCTAAGGTACAGTTCATGCAACATCCTCCTAATAGCCCGGATCTCAAAGCGATTGAAAATCTGTTTTCTGTTTTGAAGAGAGAGGTCAATGTGCTACCTATACGTTGGACATTAAAGGCAAAAGTGCGATACTTAATCGAGCAGAAAATAGAAAATGACTTCATAACAAAGTTGGTGGATTCGATGCCGAAGAGTCTCGAAAAAGTCCTAAAGAACAAAGGCAGACCAATCGACTATTAATGTACACAAACTTTGCATCGACGTTAATTTGTTGTCAATGAAAACTGTTCCATTCTCTTTCGTTACCTCTAAACTCAACATGGTCTAGGTCAACCCTTACTGACGAACTGGGATTATCCGCTACATTCCAAACCATTCCATCTGCGGAGTATAAACGAATCAGAAAAATAACGTCTATAAAAACTGACCGAGGCTTGTTTATTATTATTTGGAAAAATAATTTACTCCAGTGTAAATGCTGTAGCCTATACGAACCGACAAGTGTTTCACAGGGACCCGTTGCTTCAGTTTCGATTAGACCTGTATATATATAGGGATTGGTTTTGAACATCACACCGTGTTTCGCGTTTAGATTAGACTTTAACTTTACTTTATTCGGTGCATCTGAACCTTTTCGTCCGTATGTTGTTTGTCGATCGAATAGTGTTTCGTTGCTCAATCTCGTGATTACTTGCATATTTTTTTCAATCGTCTACAGGTACAGTCTCGTGAACCTTCTGTGGTATAATTATGTGCGTCTTAGAGTGTGATTATCAGAACTTTTGATCAAAAAGAAATCTTTTTCTGAGGGACCAGCACCTTTTGCCCTAGAATTCGGGTTGTAGAACTATTTCGGAGGCTAAGGACAAATGGAAATACTGAGCCAAACGAGAACCACAGCAACACCGCCGATGTTAACTGTCAGAGGCTATCGATTGGAACCACTACTTTGATTGATATTGTAACTGTTCTGATCCTTTTTAGTAGCGCAGATAGTGTAACCAAATGATCATACTTATTCTGGCCCATTTTCATTTTATTTTGTAGTCACAGTGCCTCCTCACGGGACACTCACCTCGGTTCATCCATCAGCAGTTCGCGCAACGGCACCGTGGATGGTGGACTGAGTCATGGTTCAGACCCCACAAAACTGTTGGAAACCATTGCCAATACCGAAGTGTTTGGTCTGATTCCTTTGCTGTACGGCTTACTGCTTGATCCGAGTAGTCGTCCTTCGCAAAGTCTACTACCCCAGGGTCCTGCTACCGAATCACGTGGAACTGGGCCCAGTGCACCCAATCGACCTTCCGATGCTAGTAAATTTTTTGTGGCCCTGGACGCTCAGTTGAAGTTCTATCATATTTTGTTTTCTGATTGTCAAAGACTAATTTGGCATCATCATCAATCATCGTACAGCGAAATACCGTGAAGCGAACTTCACTGACCGCTGCCAAAGGACTAGGACTAAGATAATAATTTTAAAGATTGTCACCTTATTGGAACTAGACACAAACTTTGTATCGTAGTCCGTTTTACAGCCGGAGTGGTTTCTGTTATCCACATTGTTGCCACTTGGTTTTTTCAGGTTGATTGTTGAACCTTCCACTTCCTTGATCGATTTGTAATATTACTCTACTGACGTGTCGATGACAACGAAGAGTTTAAGATGTTGTTCTGTTGTCAATACTAAATCAGCAACATATTGTTTTTGGTACTTAAATGCTTTCTGATTAGCCACAGTAGTGAATCTGCGCATGAGGCTTCCGCTTACCCATCTGCCCTCAAGAATACTTTATGACACGTCACATTAATCAGATATTTGCAGTCTAGTTTAACTTAACAGCTTAGCTATAGTTCTCTAAATGTGGAGTTTTTCAGCATTTGGTCACTGCTTTTTCTGGACCACGTATGAATTTTTTACCAGTAACGTTTATCCATCGTCCAACCGATTAACGCGTGCCTTCAATAGGTCTGACTCCTGTACAGAGAAAGCGTACTGTGCGCACTCCAGCGACCAAAGCACCTGATTCGGTGGATAACCCTGGCAGTAAATCGGATGAAATTAAGGCCTTACCCTTCAGAAGTCAAGCAATCGGACGAATCACCCTTCAAGGATTAAAATTGCTCAACTCATTAGCAGTGGTCAATCAACCCGCATTACAGGTCAGTTATTTATAGTCTTTCTTGATTCTTGAAAGCATTGTACTATCACGTACAAATGGTGCTTATCTGTGAGCACCGGATGTTTCTTATCCTTGGTGTCCCCGACACCATCAGTCTGACGGATCCGGTCAGTTAATTGTGAATGTACGTTACGGTCTTTTCATACTTTATCTCAAGCATCTCTGTCAGTGGCCTCTCTGCAGTCATCTTTTATGTTGCTTTTTTCAGTTTTCATTTCGATCAACCATGAGCCATGCATGCACTTTCGTGCGCTGGTTTTCGTTGCTGTCTTTGACTGCCCATTTGGATGAACAGTAGGGGGAAGACAGTAAAGTGGAATATACTATGGAGAGTTTCAGTGGACTAAGGTTACAAAGAAATTGAGAAGATACACGAACTCCACTGTTCACGACACTCGGCCATATCACTCAGTGTCTCTGACCATCGGTTACGATTATTCCGAGGTCACCAGACGGGGAGCCCAACGGGACCCATGTGATTGAGTCTCCTGGTTAGGGTTTTCATACCCTTGTGCCAGGTCTTAGCTTCATCACCCTTAACCTTTCTACAGCCGCTCCCTACCTCTTCGAACATCGCTGGACGTGAAAACCTATTTGGTGATATGTGTTACATATGCCCCAACCAACGTAATCTATAGAGGTCGACTACTTGCTTCTGTGGACGACCACGGTTACCTAGAACTGTACGCCTAGTCAAGTTTTTACATTGCCTCAGGTCCTTGAGCTGCGTCTCACCCGCTGTCCGCCAACGATCGCTGTGTTCCTTGACCTGAAGGGACCCTTCGACTCGGTTGACCGCGAAGCTCTGATGGGTTCCGTTCTTCGAAATGGAGTGCCCCAGAAGTACGTTAACCCTACTGAGATCGCTGTACTCACATACCTCCGGTCGTGTAAGGGTTTACAACGAACTAAGTAGGTCGTTCGTCAAGGATGCCCTATTTCGCCGTTCCTGTTCGATTTCTTCATAGACGAAATACTGGATAACGCACTTGGTGGTCTCCAAAATGTAGGTATCAAATGGGCATCTAAAGAAAAACTGTGCGATTTAGCGTATGCCGATGACATCGTCTGTCTGTTCGAATGTTTGGAGGACGCGCAAAGCGCACTTGATAGACTAACAAGTGCTGTTGTCGCATTCAGTATGTGCTTCGCACCTTCAAAGGGCAAATTGATGCTGCAGGATTAGGTTTCGCCTACTCCTGCTCTGAAACTAAATGACCAGGAATAAGTTACGATGGATTACTTTTCCCACTTAGGTAGCTGCGTGACCAATCACGGTAATGCAGCAAAGCAGATAACCGCCCGCAGTTCCAAAGCTCGAGCAGCATATGCAGGACTGAAACACGGTTGGCGTAGACGCGACGTTTCACTGAAGTTGAAAGGTCGTGTACATTGTGTTAGCGTTCGTTCAGTTCTGCTTTATGGTTATGAAGCTTTGGATTCGCAAGTAGAAGATATCTGTCGACTAGAAGTTTTCGATTGTCGGTGTTTACGCAGTTTAGCCCATGTTGGATGGAGCGAACGGGTTAGTAACGTGGAGGTAAGCCGTCGTGTGTTTGGGAGTCTGTCAGACATAAACCTGCTAGCATACCGAATTCAGATTGGTAGGCTTCGCTGGTTAGGGCACATATGCCCAGCTGTCGTCTACCGCACCGCACTTTATTCACTATAGCTAATCCGGGTTGGAGGAAACCACGTGAAGGTTAACAGATGACGTGGAGACGAGGCATGAAAAAATGCACAAATGCACAAGGTAGAGTAGGTGTCTCTCGCCTTCCAGGTTGGGGTGCGAAAGACTCCACAAATGGTTGGTTGGAGACATTGAAGGATATGGCAGCGAACCGACAGCTGTGGCGTTCCTGTTGTCATTTCTTATCAGGTGAGAAAGCTTGAAACGGTATGTAAGCAGAATTTGATTGCGTACTATGTAGTGACCATAGAGGTTCCCCTTCTCCCCCCTCTCTCCAAATAGGTTCGATCCCTGTCCACCTTAAATTTTACCACTAATCTTGCATACATTGCGGGTTTGGCAGTTATCAGTGAAGTCCCCTGTACGATGCTGATGACGCCTAACCTCAGCATTACTCGTGAAAAGGGAATTTTGGCATTAAAAATCCTGTAACTTCTGATTGTTGGGTCTTGCTGGTAAAACTCGGGGTGATATTCGATGGGTCTGATCAGCAGGAGGCATATGGAGTTATTTTAGGTTAAGGGAAAGAACTAGACAGATGGGAAAGAGATTTCTCCGAATGGGTGCATGTGAATTTAGAGCACGACATACTCCGCGACAGCCGACGAAGGGGTTTTTCTTTGGGAACCCTAACCAGAGCCTTCGACTCAAAAGTCTGACCCACAAGGCAGTGGGGCGTAAATCCAACGCGGGAGTGTGAACAAAGCACCCGTGCGGGAGCTTCTAGAGACCTGTCACACAAGGCCTTCGGGTTTCGGTTCAGTGTTTTGTTCGCTGGTGCGTTGGTTGACGGTCCGCTTTTCGGGATCGGCCCTTAGCCGCATGCACCCAATGAGACAAGCGGAACGTGGACGGGACAGTACCTTATTGGCTGGAGGCTACCCAGCTTGGACGGGCGGTAGCTGTCCAATGAAGTGCGAAGACTTCTCCCACCGTCGAGAGGAAGCCCCAGGTACTCCCGCTCCTACGTCCATCTAGCGGGGTTTTTGACCAGCAAACTGTCTGGCTTCTACCCGTTGACCTTTCAGGCATGATTGGATCTGCGGCTGTGAAAAGCCACTCTGTGTAGCTAGCAAAGTCATAGATGCACGCAAACAATCACCCAAAGTCAAGCTGCAGTTTCGTTGTAATGGTGTTACTATTCTACCTGTATGTGAATAACCTCCGATTGCGATTTTCGAACAGTAACTTTTTTTAATACTAGTGCACTGATACAGATTTTGAGTTTCGATATCTCTATTGCTTATGGTTAACCAGCTAACCGTTTCTTGCCTGCAGGTATCTTCTCACTGAGAATATTGTGGTGTCGATTTTTTTCTACTCTCACCTCACCATTCGTGCTCAACTTCCCTCTGAGTTTCTTGGATTTTGCGTTGGCACGAGACTTGATCCTCGATTTTTATCTTCATTCACCTGGTGCGCTGTTGTTGGTTTCTGACTTAATTAAAACTGCTCCTGACTCATGGGTTCAGTGTTAGTTCTGTACATGACTGGATTCTGTGCTCATTGCATTTATTCCACCTCGAATATATTTATCCGTGAATGCTGTATTTATTCATTCAAAACGACTTCCACCCCGCTTATTTTCGCATTCCACAGTCCATTGTAAGTGGTGAGCTGACTGGCTTGCTAACGCGGCACATATTGCTTAGCCTTTTGACTCGATGTGCCGCCTCCACAACAACGTCCACCATATTTGGAACCTCCTTATCTGTCCCAGGACGCAGTTCACCACCACTTATATCCACCATATCAAACTCTGTCAAAAACCCAGTAGATTCGAAGTCAGGAACAAATGTCTCCAGTGTGGACTCAGCCCAACCACGAAAACACTTGAAGCCTCATGGAGCTGCGGATCGTCGAGGAGAGGAGGCAGATGATATAAGTTGCTTATTGCCGAGCGGTGCCCGGCAGGTTGTTGTCCGTTCTTCAGCAACGGCTCCAGCGAATCAACTATCGACTGGTCGAGGTAACAAAGTCTCTAAATTTGGTCTGCCATCCTGGGCTTCAGATAACCCAGATACCCAAACAGACACACCCAATCCGAAGGGGGAAGTTCCACCACCGACTAGAGCTTCAGGGTACGTGAAGTTTATCCCCGATTCTTGATCACAAAGTGAAAAAGATGTTTTTTTTCTTTTGATTTTTACGTTCTCAGAATTCCTAACTTAGGTATCGTGAGTGTTGTAACAAAAACGGACAGTCAGTATCACCTTCCGGATTGAATTATCCGTGTGTCGCCATTTTGATGAGCACAGTGAATCCAGGTTCTGGACAATTTGCTGAAAAAAACTCTTAATGGCGATTATTCGGAGCTTCAGACGAAAGCAAACGAACCTGATTGTGACTAATCCCCGTCAGTCGGGTAAGAAAGAGGATCATGATAGAAGGGATTGGTAAGCCGATCGATCTGCTCAAGTGGTTGTATAATTTGAAACGGAAATTGCGATACATCACTCGTTTGGAACACAATGGAAAAAGAAACTGGGAGAAACAAACATAATGGGCCTTCAAAAGAGACTGGTTTATAGTTCTTCGGTTCTAACAATAAATTATGTCATGTCCTGATTCTGATCGGCAACAGACTGAAGCTTATCAACGCAGCACACAGTAAGCATTTCCACCTGCATTGTCATTCGATTGATTACAGGGTTTTTTATCTGTGTCCAACTGGGTTTACCCACGGAAGTTATCTCACCTTATTGTGGGCCAACCAGCTAATAATTTTTACTCCATATCATTTACAATTTGGTGTTCCCTATTGGCCCCTGCAGTTTCAGTTTGAACAACCATTAACCATGCACTTTCGTGCGCCGGTTTT